CCGTCCAAAAAGCAAAACAAAAAGTTGCGAACGGATTCGAACCCTGGTCAGTATCCTAACAAGCTAGCCACTTACCACCCGGCCATTCAACTGGTGATTCTTCTGAGATGGGAAGCCCTCATAAACCCTGAGGTGAATGCTAATTCCTCCAAATGTAAATTGTCCATTTTCCGGAAGTGCTGTATCTCTGTCCACAGGTCGATTTAGCTAATTGTGACTAGCGCATTGGAATCGCCGTCGTCGAAAACCTAGGGGTAGCCGCGAGCGTTTTTCGAAATTCCACCGTGCCAACTTGTGGTTCCCTTGTAAGGCGCGACCAGGGTTGAAAAGTCGCGAAGCTGCTTTTCGCCCCTGGTTTTTAGTTTTAAATTTATAAAAAAACTGTTTTTCGTCTGCTAAAAAAACTTGTTTGTAATTTATAATATTTTGACTCGCTAAATTTATATGCTCCATTTTTCAGCCATTTTATCTAATCTAAAAACAAAACTGACCGTTCCGAGGCACAACCCTCTGCCATTACAATCTCGATTCGAATCGCAGACCGCTGGAAAAAGGATAATCAATGGGAAAAAGTGTGGATTTTGCCGCAACACGCAACGTGGCACGCAACGCAGCACGCAACGCCACGCTCAACGTGATACGCAAAGACATGCAACGCGCCTCGGCTTGCCTGCGCGGCGCGTTGCGTGTCGCGGAGTGTCAATTTACGTTATTTCGATCGCAAGGGCCTTATCTAAAACGTACCATCCTCACAAAATTTCCCGGAATGGCCGAGTTGGCAGAGACAGACGAAATTGTCGAGTGTCCCCATGCAAGTGCCCCGTTCATTGCAATCTGCCGTAGTGCATGCCCTGGAGACGATTTTCTGAAAGTCGAATAACGTTATTTAAATATTGGGATTTCGCTTCAGTACACCTTGAAAAAGTCGAACACTTAAATGTCCTTTTAAGAGACTCAAAAGCCAGCCAATCTCGAAAATTGGCCATTTGAAGCTCAAAATTGGTTTAAAAAACGTTATTTAGGCGATAAAACGGCCATTAAAATGAAAGTAATGTTTGTTTTTTGTATTACGCTTTAAGATTCCATTTTAGAGCCCAAATTCTTTTTTTACTGACAAAAACAAGGTTGTTTACGTGGATTTGGCGACGGTTTTTGCCTGGCAAAAACCGGAGAAGCCCCCCCCCCCCCCCCCCGCCAAAAGAAGCTATAAGCTGATCCCCCTAACCGGCAGAATGTACCCGGAGAAGCCCCCGGAATTCACAGAATTCCGTTCTACACCAAACAACAACAAAACGCCCATCCCGGAACCGTAGCCTAGCGTACTTACCGTAGCCGTGACGTTGGCCTCACGGAGGGCAGCTGCTCGCAGTTGGTTTAGCTGAAAGGAGGGAAAGGTTTAAAGGGATTGGTAAGGCAATAGGCACTATTTCACCGCGACGCGACACGCGACGCACGCGTACGTATTTCATTGCGTAACCGGTTCTGGTTCCCAGTCGTAATTATGGGTACACGTGAAAAACGTAGAAAACGTGGGAACGAAAAATTCGACGCCCGAAAATCCAGGATCCTTTAATAAATTTTCAATCACCAAAAAACCGACCCGATCCTTGACCTGCTCGCCGACGGAGGACACGGTTGACGCGGCGTGTTCTACCTGAAAAGGTATGCAAAAAAATAATGATACTCTGCTACCTCCTCAATGAGCTGCTCGATTTCGTTGGTCTCCTCATTCCGTTTCTGTTTCTCGGCTGGGGCTGACTAAATGGGGAATAGGATTTCCTAAATGTTCTCTGCTAGCCTGCCATACTTTTTTCTGGATGTATTTTCCTAAAGAATCTTCGCTAGCCTGCCAAATTGGGCAATAGTGGTCTCTCGAGCTCCCAAAGAATCTCTGCTAGATTGCCCACCACCTAGTCGTGAAATTGGCGAATAACGACCGTTCAAATTCCGGCGGAATCTTTGCTAGCCTGCCTCCGGATTGATCGGATTTTGGTTCCTGAAGAATCTTTGCTATAGCATGCCTTAAATACCTAACTGAGTACTGGTCAAACTAACAAATTCCTAATGAATCTCTCCTAGCCTGCCTTGCCCTTTCGCTCTATTTCCTGCATGATTTCTGCTAGCTTGCCATTATTTCCTTACCCATATGCTCTCCATCAAAAGCAGCAATAAAATGATCCGCAGCACCGAATTCATGATCTTAAAATGTCTAAAAATCAGTTTAAAGGGAGAGTGACAAGGTCAAAATGTCAAAATGACAAGTAAACTTGAAAAATACAGTATAAAGGGCACGAAATGGTAAACATGTTGGCTTGGATTGGAAAGTGTCAAAGTATAGGGGGAAAGGGGTTGAGGGGATAATGGGTGTTTGGGTGGTAGAGGTCGAGTAGAGGGGGATCTCGATCGAGCGTGTCGGGATTCAGGATCCGGTCCTAGAGGGTACGGTAGAAGAGAGAAAGAGAGAGAGAGAGAGAGAGAGAGAGAGAGAGAGCGAGAGAGAGTGACAATTACCCTCCACTATCCCAGCTACTACTAGTGGCTATCGGCAGAACAACCGGATATTGTAAGCATGGACCCCCAAAAAGAGACAAAGAGAGAGAGTGAGAGAGAGAGCCAGAGAGAGAGAGCCAGAGAGAGAGAGAGAGAGAGAGAGAGAGAGAGAGACTGCCAACTCATACGTGAACTCTTTCCCCCCATTGACAATCCCGAAAAAGCAACCAACAAATCCGGATCCGCTGCTCGAATCGGGGAGGGCAAGTTGAAACTAGAATCGAGAGTACACCAAAAATTAAAAAAAAAAAAACGAGAAATCATGTAAATCCTATACGCTGCTGTATATTAAAAAATCCTAGAATTGGCAAAATTCAGAAAATTAGCGCTTTTCCGGTCATTTGAAACAGCCAAAAATGGGTAATCGCAGAGGCCTTACGGCCTCGTTTTTGAGAAATCAGCTGGGAAAGGCAAAAAATTAGTTTGAAGTTCGCAATTTTGGGGGAAAAATGTAACTTTGGACCGCTGTAACTTTCTAAAACAAGCTATTTGGTAACCATTGGCAGCGGATTTGGAATCAAGGAAAAATTCTGCACAAAAGAAGCTTGGTCCCATACCGAAATGCCGCCTCGACCTGAGGTGGTTCCCATGGAAGCTGTCGTCGCTCAAATACTTCAAAATTCGGCAAAAAAATGCATTTTTCTCCCCGGTACCAACTTGTGGAAAGCGACCGAAACGTTCTCTGCTAGCCTGCCATGGTCACTCCAGAATGTCAACACACCATATCTTTCCATCTACGGCTACCCGAATTTGCCCTTACAATGTTGTCGAGTCAAATGATGACTCATTTCTGGAATAGCAAATCAAGGGGAAAAGCTTTCTCTCTCGCTCTCTCTCTCGCTCTCTCTCTCACCGTCTCTCCCTCCCACAATCTGTGATCCCCATCTCGTTCCCCCATCTAAAAACTAAAACAACATCCTCCGGGCACTCGATTCCCCCTATCCTCGAATATCACACCCCCACTTCATTTCCCATTTCTCAATCTATCTTTTTTTTATTACGGCATTCATTTGGGCGGTTTTTCTGCTATTTTTAGGGATTAGCGGGGTGGGAGTTAGCAAAGATCTTTGGGGGAACGAGTTTAGACTGTTTGAACCTTCAGATTTCAAAAGCTCATGACATTTTTCCAGTATGCCGCCATCTTCCATCGTTTTGATCGAACCGGACCGTCCGTCCCAGGTACCTGAATACAATTTTGGTGTAAAACTCAAATTGTAAAACAACATTTGTAGCTAAATTAGGTTTATTTCGCGATTTCACTCGGATTTTGACGGAATTCATCGCCAAAATGTTTAGCAAAAATGAGGAGAGCACGCTTTCTGGCGGAGTTTTTTCAGTTAGGAATTTATCGTTTAAATCCACAGTTTTTGAAAGCTGTTCATGGCCAACGTTGGCAGAACCCGACGAGAAAATGGCGATTTTTCCGCAAATTACACAAAACCCGCCCTTGCTTTTCCACGAAATAGTTGAAAAGCGCTCTAATTAGCAGAAAATCGGGGTTTTAACTGTAAATTTTTGTTGTTCTACCATTCCTTATGCATTACAGGACGCTCTCCGAGAAGGCCTCGATCCGCCGGTCTATACAGAAGCCACCGTTGTAACTGAACGAGCAGCCCCAGTTGATGGTAAGAACGCACAACACCCTGCTCCCGACCAGGCCTGGACGCGGGCCGGCCCGGGCCGGCCCGACCACCCTATTTTTCTCGGCCCGGCCCGGCCCGACCCGACGCGATTTTTCTCGGCCCGGCCCGGCCCGGCCCGACGCGATTTTTCTCGGCCCGACTTTTAGAGGTCAAAACCGGGGTTGGTCAAAAACCTGCCACCAAAGTGGTTTAACACCTTTTGAAGGTACTTAGCTGTTAATACAGCGTTAGTGTGTCCTTTTTACAGCTTTTCCGCAAAGAAAATTTAAAGTTTAAATTAACAACGATTTTTAAGGGATAAATATCGATGGAGCTTAGGATAATAAAGTTAAATTCAACCATTTGGGGGTCTAATTAGCTATTTTAGTGTAAAATTTAATGTTTGATACGTTACTACAATGTACCATTATACTTCTATGAAAAAAACCCGGTCCGAATCACTAAAAAAACCAAAAAGCAAAAAGATGGCACCGGGCGGGATCGAACCCGGGTCGATTTTTTGGTAGGGGGTTAAACCAAAAAAAGGTCCAAATTTTAACTGAGGTTATATAACAATGCCCAATAGGCTATTTGCGAGCGAGAAATATGCAAAATAGCACACAATTTCCGTCCAAAAACCTATTTTTCTACTTAGACAAAAATGTCGGGCCGGCCCGGGCCGGCGCGGCTTTTTTGAATTCTCGGCCCGGCCCGGCCCGGCCCGGAAAATCCCGATTTTTCTCGGCCCGGGCCGGCCCGGCCCGCCGTTTGTCCAGGTCTGCTCCCGACCACTCCGATTCCAGTGGAAAAGACGAATCTGGCGTATGGATGGTGTCAATACATGCAAATCTGTCTCATCATTGTCGGCACACTCCATGTAGGTCGTACTAAACATGATTAATCGATTACGACATCTAAATATAACCATAATACTGAGCTTTCAGTGTCTGCTGACGTGGTTCGAGCCGAGGGGAACGGATTTGGCACGTCCCGCCTTTTCGTGATCCACATCTGCCCGACAAATTCGGCCATTGGGCAATCGTTGTTGACATTGAGGTATGTAGAAAAAGTTCTAACGGGTTCTCGCAATGTATCTAGACTTATTTGAAGTAGTACGACTATAAACTTAGGCTGCCCAGGCTAAAAACTGCGAGAAAACTAGCTGAAAATATCGATTAATGTTGGAAAAATAGATGTGTATTCTCTTGTTTCTGGTTTTCCGATGGCGCTAAAGCTTTTCTTAGCATTTAAGAACTTTTTTAATATAAAAACAACTAAAGGAAACTTACAAAAGCACGAAAACGCTGATGAGTTGTTCAAAAATGTTTGAAAGGTGGCCAAAAGTGGCCAAAAACTCGTCAAAAAAGCTATTCAAATACAGTTTCTTCTTTGGCTTTTTAGAGCTTTTTGGTCAAATATAAATAAATAAATAAAACAACATTGGTACATAAATTACAGGCATTCCTGGTGCGTGCCCTGCCCGAACTCCTGTTCTCCTTCCCGATCCTCCGCCTCCTCTTCCATCTCCTCCCTCGCCTCCAGAACGACGCCATCATCCCGATCATCTTCTCCATCTATTCTTCCCTCTTTCTCATCGGCCCTCTGACCCTCCTCAATTTCTCGACCCTCTCCCTCGTCTATACCCAATCTGTTGCCGGTTTCTATTCCTGTCATCCCCTTCATATGTATCTTCTATCTATCATCTTCCTCATCTACAGCTATATTGTTGCCCGCTTTCTCCGCTCAATCCCCCATTCCGATACACCACAAGTCGATCTCACCTACAAATCGTTACTTTGGATAGTTATTGTCCCTTGCGCGCCATTCTTCCCCTTCCTGCCGATGCTCATCTTGAAGACGTTCAGCGTCCCCGAAATGTTTGCCCTCCAAGGGTGGCTCGTCTCGCTTCTCGCCCTCCAAGCCATTATCATCCACCGAATCGTTCGTTTCGCCCGTTTTCAGCGTCAGAATATTATCCATGGGAACTTGTTGTGGTAGTGCTCGGTTGATTGCGTCACCATACAGCCTCTATTTAACGCTTTTCTAACCGTTGCTCGCTTTTGTCCGGATAAGCCTCACTTTTATAGTTGCAATTTACTTGATTCTCGCTCAATCGATATTTTCAAACCGGAAAAAGCCTTTTCCTAAAAAGAATAAAGTTTTTCGGAGTGAATAGCATACTTTTCAAGCCAAAAATCCAGCTCGCATCGTCCAAACTTGTTTATCGCCTAGCCTTGCCTTCTCCTGTATAATCAACGCTTTGATTCTCTACCCTTACGACTGAAAAATAAGCAAAATCAACATTTTCTCCACAAAAGCACTATTTGTTGAAGGAATAAATTTTCGGACCCTCTTCACGTCAAAAAACAGCTTTCCTCGTCAAACAACTAGTTTATCTCCTAGTGCGGATTGTCTACAAATGCCCAACGCTTTTTACGTTTTTAATTGATTAATTTTACAATGCAAAACTAAATAAAAACCAACAAATTTCGAAATTTTACAAATAGGCTACGAAAAGGGCTTACGACGGAATACGCATTCCAATTACACCCCGAGCCTTTCCGGGCATTCCGCGACAAACCTATGGACGGCCAAAGATTGTGCGCACCGTAGAGCTGTTCCGAATTTTCGGAAACTTTCATTTTCCCAGGCGCGCTCCTGCGATACGGTTTGTTGTTTCTTTTTCATTTTTCTTGCTTTCCCTTCCGTTTTTTTCGATCCCTTGCCAAATTTGAAATCATTGAGCTTCTTTTGTCAGTTTACGTTTGCTCGATTCTTGGTCCGTAGTTCCATGTTTTAGCGGCTAAAAACTACTTCCCCCGCTACAGTTTCGGCTTTTCACTTTACCTATTCTTGCGCTCCCTTACCACTTGACTTTTGCCTTTTTCTATGGTCGCTCTGCTTTGATTTTCCATTCAATTCTCACTCTCGTTCTCCTTTTCAAATTTTACATTTTCCTTTCCAGGGTAAAACGGTATGGCTTCTCGTCCGCTCGCTATGCTGAGCCGCAGGGCCACGGCCCGTCTCACGCAGGCCAACGTGCAGCGCATGGTCCCGGCCGTGCAGAGCGGTAACTTTTCCCTTTTTTATTGGTTTACTTTTTTTCCAGCGCGCTCCATCACCACCGCCACCGAGAAGAAGGAGCTCCACACCTCGTCGACGATCCAGGCTGAGGCGAAGAAGGTATAGGCTTTCGAAGTCTACCTTTTATGTTGTTTTTAGGCACCAGCTGCCGCCGGCGGTCTGTCCAAGGGCCGTCTCGTTGCTGTCATCGGTGCCGTCGTCGACGTGCAGTTCGACGAGAATCTGCCACCAATTCTCAACGGCCTCGAGGTCACCGGACGTACGCCGCGCTTGATCCTGGAGGTTTCGCAGCATCTCGGTAATTTGCTTTTCCTTTTTGCTGTGAAATCAATTTGCTTAGGTGACAATGTCGTTCGCTGCATTGCCATGGACGGTACCGAGGGTCTTGTTCGTGGTCAAGAAGTCGTCGACACCGGCGATCCGATCAAGATCCCCGTCGGACCGGAGACGCTCGGCCGCATCATGAACGTCATCGGCGAGCCCATCGATGAGCGCGGACCGATCGCATCCAAGCACCGAGCCCCCATCCACGCTGAAGCCCCCGAGTTCGTGGAGATGTCTGTGGAGCAAGAGATTCTCGTCACCGGCATCAAGGTCGTCGATCTGTTGGCCCCCTATGCCAAGGGTGGAAAGATTGGACTGTTCGGAGGTGCCGGTGTCGGAAAGACTGTGCTCATCATGGAGCTGATCAACAACGTCGCCAAGGCCCACGGAGGATATTCGGTGTTTGCTGGAGTCGGAGAGCGCACGCGTGAAGGAAACGATCTGTACCACGAGATGATTGAAGGAGGGGTCATCGACCTCAAGGGCAACAACTCTAAGGTATCGCTGGTGTACGGACAAATGAACGAGCCCCCCGGTGCCCGCGCTCGTGTGTGCTTGACTGGACTGACTGTTGCCGAATACTTCCGTGATCAAGAGGGACAAGACGTGCTGCTCTTCATCGACAACATTTTCCGTTTCACCCAAGCCGGATCTGAGGTGTCTGCTCTGCTCGGTCGTATCCCGTCAGCTGTCGGTTACCAGCCAACGCTCGCCACTGACATGGGTGCGTTTGATTTTAGTTTTCCCTTTTTGTTCATTACTTGCCCAAATTCGTTTTTACATCGGTTTTTTTAGGTAGCATGCAGGAGCGCATTACGACGACTACCAAGGGCTCGATCACCTCCGTGCAAGCTATCTACGTGCCCGCCGACGATCTGACTGACCCGGCCCCGGCTACCACCTTCGCCCATCTTGACGCGACGACTGTGCTCTCGCGTGGTATCGCCGAATTGGCCATCTACCCGGCCGTGGACCCGCTCGATTCGACGTCGCGTATCATGGACCCGAACATTGTCGGCCAACACCACTACGACATTGCCCGCGGTGTCCAGAAAATCCTGCAGGACTACAAATCGCTCCAAGACATCATCGCCATTCTTGGTATGGACGAGCTGTCGGAAGACGACAAGCTGACGGTGTCTCGTGCCCGCAAGATCCAGCGTTTCCTCTCGCAGCCCTTCCAAGTCGCCGAGGTGTTCACGGGACACGCCGGAAAGTTCGTCAGCCTCGAAGAGACCATCCGCGGGTTCCAAATGGTTCTCAAAGGTATAACATTTGCTTGCTTTTTGGTACGATTGAAGTTGGTGCGGGCCACTTTGCTTAAAGGATAAAAGGGCCCTCGCAACTTGAATCATGCCCCTTCTTTCTAATGTTGACCAACGATTTATATTTTTCTTTCCAGGCGAACTTGACCATCTGCCGGAGGTGGCCTTCTACATGCAAGGTGGCATCGACGACGTGTTCAAGAAGGCTGAGGAGCTGGTCAAGACCCACGGCGCCTAAACACCGCGTGCGAGGCCGCTGAGGGATCGACGCGAATTCCATCCGCTTCACACAACTAGCCATATCGTCCCCCACATCTTCCTGTAACTTATCGTGTTCGCCCCTTGTTTCATTACAATTGCGATTTGATTGTATTTAGCTAGGAAGAGATAAAGTTTTTAATACATTTTTCCTCTTTCCTGGCTGTTTGTTGACTTGCCCCGTCATAAAGATTTTTGCTCCACAATTGACTTGGATTTTGCGGCGGAACACTGGTGTAAAAACCATGGCAGAATATCTGAATTGTTGAAGCTAAAAGCGCTGGCTTGTAGGAATTAGTGCATTGAAAAGTTGAGTTGTGGAAATTAGTGCATCGAAAAGGTGGGCGGGTAATGGCGCGTTTTTGAAAAATCAGGCACATCTGTTTGTCTGTTGCTCAGGATTTTGATAAGCTCTAGAGATTAGTGGCGCTTTTCTAAAGATTTTTCACCGTGATTTACTTCTTTCTTTCCAGTTCGTTCATTTTCGCTTCTCGATTTTATTATTTATCCCATTTCAGTGGCCACCCCTCCATTCATTCCACAGTGATGACACCGACCCGATCTTCTCTCACGCAATCCCGGCATGTCCTTGAAGCGGTAATATTCCATCGAATTTCTCCATTTTTCTTTAGATCTCCTACCTTGCCGAATTCGGCAAAGACGATCAAGTGACGGAGGAAGAAATTGTCGACCGGCGGGCCCTGTTAGTGGACGATATCCGAGTGCTGACAGATCTGGTAACAACCTTCTGCTTTTTGAGAAATTAATTTTTGGGGAAAATTCAAGTTTACGGTACTCACCCAAAATGCGGTTTTTTGTGTTCAAATCGCTAAATAAAGGTCAGAAACGGACTCATCGACAAAAATTAGGTGGCGGAAGGCACTTTTGGGGAGAACCTCATTTTGTTTTGAGATCGGGTACCGTAAGTAGTATACGGGGGTGACTACTTTACGGTACTCGCCCAAAATTTTAGTTTTTCTGCACGAAAAGAAGCAGTAAGGGCTGAAACGAATGAAGCAGCAAATATTTGGCGGAAGGCCTAAAATGAGTGATTTGAGACTTCGAAGTTTGAGGCTTATGACATGTCGCGCAGTGGGCCGTCGCTTCGGATGGGCTGCCCTCCTCTTTCGAAATCAGGGCGCCTGGGCGCTTCGCGCTCCTCGGGCGCCCCGATTTCGAAACCCTGTAGAGCTCGCACCCATCCGAAGCGACTAGGCCCTGGGTGGCACGAAGCCTTATTTTTAGGCTTAAACTGGGTGTGATCGAGAGATGGAATCTGTGTCCGAATCTTCCCTTTATAGGCCTTTCCGCCCACTTATTTTTGCTGATTAATACGTTTCAGACCTTGCTGCTTCTATTCGTGCAGAAATAGGAACATTTTGGGCGAGTACCGTAAAGTAGTCACCCCCGTATACTACTTTACGGTACCCGATCTCAAAACTAAAATGAGGTTTTCTCCCCTAAAAAGTGCCTTCCGCCACCTAATTTTTGTCGCTGAGTCCGTTTCTGACGTTTATTTAGCGATTTGAACACAAAAAACCGCATTTTGGGAGAGTACCGTAAACTTGAATCAAGCCAATTTTTGTTTTCAGGCTAGTACCTCGCGAACGGTGACCACGGGGCTGACGCGGATCAACGACATCTACCAGGACATGCTCACCCTCGCCCACCGATTGCATCGGGAAACGAAGGTAATTTAGCGGAATTTGTCGTTTAACCTTCACTTTCTAGGATCTCTACGCAACAATTCCCCACGACTACCAGCGCGAGAAGGTAGACGTCAGCAAGCCGCACCACTCAATCTTCGCCGCCGCGTATCTGGCCGCCTATGTCGACAACCCGGCGGATTTGCGGCCGGGCAGTGATATAGTGCTCAAGGCGTCGTGGGCAATGCAGGAGATGCTCACCAAGACGGCGCATTATGTAAGGGATTTCCGTGTAAAACTACCGACTTTTGCTTTCAGAGTTCCACCCCGGGGGATTCGAATTCATGGTGTTTCGAAACGGTTTTTTACAATTTTGGGGGCTTTAAAACGGCAGAGAACCTTTTAAAATACAATATGAAGGGTTTCTAACAAATTTTTGAATTTTTAAGCGGTTAGGGTTTCTAATAAAATTTTGCGCTGAGATTTGGCTAGATTTTACTATAAAGATTATGAAAACGCTTACGATGAGGCTGCTTTCTTTAAATCTGGATAGTAAAGAAGTCCTAAAAGCCCTGTAACCCGTTTTATTACCCGGAACTGAAACTAATCAATCTAACTTTTTTCCAGGCGGCTGTCTCTCGGCGTACGGCGTCAGAATACTATCGTCTACAAGGCGAGTACGACGTCATTCTCGACCGGGCCATCTATTTTGTCGAAACTGTTGAGGTATTTTTTGGGTTTTTACAAATTGATTGTTTTTCTAGGCTCTTCGTGAAGAAACGCCATCTATGGTCTGAAGAGCCAGGCGTCCGTCTCCGTCACCGCTAACACCGTCTTCAACGAATAATACCTGCCGATAATAATCTCCCAGTGTGTGTACACCACACCTCGTTGTTATTTTGTGTTGGTTTTCGCATAGATTTAACAGAATTTGTATTTATCCTATATGCCATTTGTCGTGTCTTTCATGTGTGTTGCGTGTAATAAAATCAGGCGTGCGTGCGTTTTTTTTTGAGGAAGTTTAACAGTTTAGGGTCTTTCAGAAGCTGCTAGTTTCCGAAGTTATGCTGCCTGGGATGGTATTCAAGTGCCAAACCGGTTATCATTGACCATCGCGAGGAAGTGTCAACAATTGGTATTGAAGCGATAAGAGGTCACCCACCGCGTTATTGGAGGCACCAGCTCGAGTGTACGAGCCCTGGCAATGGTCACCTCACTACCCTCATCCCCTCCGAAATACGATGAACTGTCGACGATGGCTGAGGGGAATGAAGAGCAACATCAGCCACAGCAACATCACCAACAAACACAACAAATTGTGATGGATGAATTGTTGCATCCGATCATGCAGATACCGGCTGTCAGGCAGCCAATAGCTGGTTGGGTTTTCTTAGTTTTCGGGGGTCTTCTGTTTCTTGAGTCTTCAGGTTTATTTTTCGCTGTTTTTCTGGTTAGGTTATAATTTCTTTGCTCGGTGCTAGGGTTGGTTTTAGGAAGTTATTTTGGTATTTTAGCGAGGACTTAGCGAGACAGTAAAAAGTCATGATAATTTTTTGTGTATCGAAAACCCCGCTATGAAAGCCATAGCTTACAACTTAAAACTTGTTAGCTTCAATTCTACGCCCGCGCCTCGATAAGAGTAAAAACTCGGCTGCTTCGCGGTGTTTTTGTAGCTGAATTTGGCCATTTTTGCCTTTTTATATAGCTTATTAAACGTTTAATAAAGCTTTAGTTCGTGAAATTGTAAATTCCAGCAGAGGAAAGTCAGAAACGGCTCGGTAACATTTTTCTCACTAATTTCTATCACTTTCAGATGGCAGCAAGGAATTGCTTGAAAAGTGGCCGAGGCACGCGATCAATTATCTTCTATGCGTCGCCGTGTTTTACGTAATTATTATTTATCGAGACTAGCTAACAGCTTTTTCCAGTTCTCAATCTCGTGGTCAAAAGCAGATTCCCTCACCCAACCGCTCGATTTGTCGAAATTTGGCCGTTGGATGGTGTTGATTGAGGGGCATGAGGTATCCGTTCATTTTATCATCTTATCCTGGACAACTAGCAGAAATCCTTTGAGGCAAAAGGGTTTTCGAAAAAGAGCAAAAAATGCTCTAGCGGTCCTTAGAACTGTCCGATTTTTAGCATTTAGGTATCAATCGAAAGGATCGAAACCAGGCCATCAGATCGGCATTCTCAGTTTTGGAAATTCCGGAATTTTTTTAGATCTTGAACATTTTTCGCGCAAAGATTAAACGCTTTTTTCTACAAGCACATTTTGGATCGGCTTAAACGCTTTACTCAGCGGGCTTTTTTCAGATTTTAAGCTTACAGCTTGGATTACGCTTATACCGGTTAAATTGCGTTTTGGACCAAAAGGCGTGTCCTTTTTGCATGAAAAATGCCGAAAATTGAGCGAAAAATTCCGCCATTTCGAAAATTGACGAGACTTGCTGGACCTGCCTTTTCGAGGGCTTTCGATAGATACCTAAATCGTAAAAATCGGACAGATCTGCGGCCAGCTAGCGGGGGATTTTTTTGGGATACCCTGTAAAATAATAGTTAGATCTTAGAAAAAATGCAAAATAAATCCAATTTTCAGCTATTCCTGCCGTGGCTGCCGCTGCTTCTCTACTCGGTGCTCCCTCCGATTCTCTCGCTCCTCCCTCTCCTCCCTCCCTCTCTCTCCTCTAATCGGCGTCTCTCTCTTCTCTTGTTTTCTCTATTTCTCTCCATTCTCCTCATCTCTCATCTCTATCTTCTCAATGCCCTTCTGCTCACACTACTCATGAATCGCGTCTTCAAGTGAGTTTTGGGTAAGAGTGCAGTTTCCCCAGCCCAGCCCCTCAGCCATACGTCCTATTAATGCGCCGAGTATCTCAAAATGTTCGCCGTGGTCGAAAATCTCTACAAAAGTTGTTTACTTGCGCCAAAAATAGTTAAAAAATTTTTTTTAACAATTATAAGTCTGGGTTTTCCTTAGTTAATTTTTGCTGTTCCAAAGTGAGTTTTCGTATCTCGGCTATCTTTTGACGTACAGAGCTGTCAATGGTACCAAAATGTGGCTCTTGCTCTGTAGAATAAGCCTACAGTACGCTTGAGTCGAAAAAATAGCGGAAAATAAAAATATTTGAGTTTTTGACTTCTGGTACATTGAAGAATGGCGGCTTAATATTTTCAACTTTCAAAATCTTGTAAAAAAATTTTCTAAGAATTTTTGCCGTAAGGAAACAACTTTTTAGAGGTTTTCGGCCACGGCGAACATTTTGCTATACTCGGCGCATTAATAGGACGTATGGCTGAGGAGCTGGGCTGGGGGGGGAGTAAACTGCACTTAAGCCGAGTTTTGTTACAATTTAATAACTTGTTGGTACAAGGATGGTTGGGGGGGCCACTTTTTTTTGTCGGTTTCAGATCAGTTTTTTGTGCTGAGTTCGAATTTCACAAAATCAGGTTCGAATAACGCCTTTTTCCACCGTAAAAAGCCTTAACCTGTTTAACAAGGGTTTATGGCAACAACAAGGATATAACAAGATAATAGACTAGTAACAAGTGTGGTCGCGCTAGCTTATCATTCGCAAGGGTAGTGATCGTGGACTTGTTCCCAGAAATGGTAGAAAGGGTCGGTGGAAAATTCCTGGCGCCATAGAAATAGTATTAGTACCAGGGTTGAAAAGCCGCTTCGCGACTTTTCAACCCTGGCCCCGTCTGATCCGATGATATTCTGCAATTTACATATTTTTTCACGAATCCCCATGCCGAAAAATGAAAAACATCCCCATCTGTCCCTTTATATAGGCTTTCGCCATTTCCGGCGCATGCAAATTGTTTCCTAACAAAGAGGTGGACCCGGATTTTCATAAAAACTTAATTTTAATGACGAAAATAGCACTTTTTGTAAAATCTGATATGTGTGCAGTCGTGTCATGACCATTACGCACCTTTTGGCGTATCAAACATACCCGTAACTTCCTCCCCTATCGAGATACGACTGGAACATAATGACGGAAGTTGCATGCAAAGTGACACACACACACACACAAACACTATTTTTTTATATATAGTAGGATAGGCTTAGTCTAGGCCTAGCTTAGGTTTGGCCCAGCCCTAGCTCAGGCTTGTTCTAGACTTAGCTTAGGATTGGGCTTAAGCCTAGGCTTGGCTTAGGTTATGCTTGGGCTGGGCTTGGCTTGGTTAGCTTAGGCTTGGAGAAAAGCTTACGTCGGAAAAAAACCCCAAAAAAAAAGATGCCCCCCCCCCCCCAACATCAATAGCTCCGGTTGTATTTTAGGAAAGTGGATTTCGCGGCTGATACCGCCGTTTTACGGTGGAAAACGGCGTTATTCGAACCTGATTTTGTGAAATTCGAACTCAGCACAAAAAACTGATCTGAAACCGACAAAAAAAAGTGGCCCCCCCAACCATCCTAGTACCAACTTGTTTCTAAAATTTCTTTGGTGCCTCTGCAATATGGGGGGGGGGATTGTTTCTCTCAAAATACGAATAGAGGGCGCGTTGTTAAACTATTTTGATGCTTCCTAAACTTAAAAATTTTACAAATTCTGAGCAAAAAATACAAAAATAAGGATATTGGATAGAAAAACTCCGATTTACCATCAGAATTCTACCTTTCTGAAAAGTTTAAAAAGTTTTTCTGGATAGTTTTCCACTTTAAATATCGGTAAATTCAATTGAAAACACTATTAAAACGCTTAATGTTATGTTGCGAGGAATTTTTGGGCTTGTGCAAAAAATCGGCCGCACCCGATAATGCAAAGGTCCCTCCCTGAGCTTTTTATTTTTTAACAGAATAATCAAAATTTAGAGACCAGAAATACTTTAATCTGTTCGCCTTCACGAACGGGCCACATTTCCCCAAATTCACCAGCATATCGTTGAGTACGTTTTTTTTTAACGAATTTTAACCAATTTTGGGTTAATTTTTGCAAAGGATCTCTGCTAGCCTGCCCTGTGATCACTTTTCAGCGGTTCTGCTCGTGTTCCTCTTCACGTTCGTCTTTTTGACGGCCAGGAAGCGGGGAAATGGCCGGCGGATGGGAATTTATGGGACTGCCGTCATTCTAATGACTGCTTTATTTGCCGTAAGAATTTTTGGGCTTTATTTGGCGTAATGTATCTGTAAAACTGAAATTTTTTGGGATTTTGCGAAAACCGGCTTTCATAAGGTTTACTGTGATAAAAATAGCAAAAAACGAAAATACGGTATAAAAACCCCGAAAATAGGTTCACTAAACTTCATTAGATTCAAAAATTTTGAATTATTCGTGTCGTTAAAGTATAACAATTTTTAATACGGTAACAAAGTGTTTTTATCACATTTTTTGCATTAAAGAGATGAGGACGGCATCTGTTGAACCCCCCTTGGGGAGGGGGGGTTCAACAGATGCAGCGGCGAGAGAGGGTGCCCAGGGGAGAGGCGCAGAGACATTTTCTTTCCCACGCGTAATCGATTGCCTTATGCCGCCCCTATCCCTTTAAGGTTGTTTTTGATTAAATCTTCTTCCAGATAATCGTGATTCCGCTGATTCCATTCTGGCTCTCGTGCCTTCTTCAACTCTCAAAATCATCTCCAATTCTATTGATCAGATGCTGGGCATGTGTTATATTTATTCAGGAGGGAATTCTGCTATTTAAGGTATGGTTAAAGTATTTTAAAAAAGCATACTTTTTCAGATTATAACGTTTACACGACGATACCAAGTGACCATATGGACTGCCCTTCAAAAGTACTGTAATCCAATCGCATAAATTTTTTTGTGGAAGCGAGAGGGACAGAGAG